ACCCTGTGTTGGGGCTGGAGAGATGGCTCAGCAGTTAAGAGCATGTACTATTCTTGCAGAGGTCCTGAGTTTGGTTCTCAGACCCACATCATGAAATTCACAAGTACCTGTAACTCCAACTTCAGGGGACCAAGGAATCCAATGCCCTCTTCTCTGGTCTCTGTGAGCATCCACAGGTAAGTACACACACACACACACACACACACACACACACACACACACACACACACACACACGTACACACCATCGGGCAGGGAATTTCCCATTCCCTCTTAACCTACTCACTTCTCAACTCAGATCACTGCTCATCTTCACCCTATTTCTCCTTATCTTCCTACCCTAAAACATGTCATACATATTTAGCCCCTCATAGCCAAGGGTCCTGCAATCACAGATTTAAGTAGCGATGGGTTGAAGTATAAAAAACCTGAGCCTATGCTGAACATGTACACATGATTTCTTGTCATTCCTCCCTGAATCTTACAGCATATAAACTATTTCAATGGCATTTACATTGGATAAAGTATCCTCTAGAGATGTCTGGAAGACTACAGAATGAGTTGGAGAGATGATTCAGTGAGTAAGGTGCCTGTCGCTTGTATATGATGACGACCTGATTTCGGATTCCCAGCATCCATGCAGAAGCCAGGCATGGTGATCTACTATAACTCCAGAGCTGGGAAAGCAGAGATGTCAGGATCCCCAGAGGTCTGGCCAGCCAATTTAGGCAATTAGTGAGCATCAAATTCAGTGAGGGACCCTGCCCTCCACCACCCCAAAAAAGTAAGGAAAAGAAAACACATGGTGGTAGAGGAAGACACCTCAATGCCCACCATTGGCCTTCACATATGCACGCCCATGGGCATGCCCACCTGTACACACCCTTTCTCCACATACCCACCCTTCTGGAGTTCTCTGAATTCTGGTGTAGGCCTGATGGAGCCAACAGCAGAGCAATCAATGCTGGCCCTGGATACTGCTGACGGGAACTCCCCAGCCCCTCTGCCCTGGAGATGAAGGGAGAGGCTGAAGGTGAGATTTCATACCTCTAACCCCAGGGTTGACTCCACCCTCACAGTAGCAGGGCCCGACCTCTAGTCATCTACCATTCAAAGGAGAGTCAGTCCCGGGTTCAGAAGCTCTGCCATGGGACTCCCGAAGGCCAAATGTCAACCTCCTTTTAAACCTCCTGGCTCTTGTGGTTATCTTCCACAAAGAGTCAAACACACTTTCTTCCTTCAGCATACACCCCCACATCCCAACACATACACCACATGTATCACAAAAATCACACGTGTAAACACACATCACACTATATCATACACTACACCCACGTCATATACAAACACATATCACACACAATACATACATACTCACACATTACTCACTACAAATACACCATGCAAACATGTGTATCACATGCCATGCACTTTAGAAACATACACATATATACCATACAAATACACACATATACAATCCCACACAACACACACAAGTTCACCACTCACACACACATCACATACTACATGAATCACCACACTCACATCATAAGCACACACACACACACACACACCACACCTCATTACAGATACACTGCACAAACACACACTATTCAAACGTGCCCAAGCACACTACAATACATCAAACACTACACATTGCCCAAACACCCTCATCACACACACACATTCTCACAGTAAACATACCACACAGACACGGTATACATGAGTTATGTCTCTGAAGACTAGTAACTCCTTTCTAAAACATGAACTGTGAGAAGAATGGTTCCTGGAACTCCTTCCTGGCTGACCTCAGGGATGACGACAGGGGGCAGAGTAGGAGTGCGGTGATGGGGACAAGGCGCTGTAGTCAGTTGGCGTTGGCAGATGACTGCCACGGCAAGAATTCCCCCCTGAAGAATGTGGCGGTGAGTCACAGGCTCACAGTGGGTCCCAAATCGGGTTGTGACATGTGAGGCCATGCTCCATTCTGCAAGGCCACAGCCAGGTCTGAACATAAAGCTATCTCTCTCAAAAATCTGAGTGGTGTAAGTCACATAGAGGAAGTGGCTTGAGGTTGTCTATCGAGTTGCAGAGTGACCACAAGACCCCAGTCCCCGATATAGCCTAAGAGGATCATCTTTCTCCCATGGTGTCTATCTACCAAGAGTTCATTTTTCTCTTTGGAACCACAATTCCAGCAGCCAGCACTCTCAAGAAACCCAGTCCAATAGAATATATACATGTATGCAGACACACGTAATACAAACACACCTGCCAGGAGGGACTGACTCATTCGTGGAAGGAACAAATGCAAGCCCTGTGGAGTTACTGTGCTAACTCAGGTCTGAAGCCATATGCACTGCTGTGGGTATAGACAGTCAGACAGAGGGTGCTCTCTAGCTAGGGGGACTGGTCCTTTGTCTTCACAACAGTCTACGTCATGCCCACGGGATTGAACAAAACTTCCCCACCCTGGCCAGCCCGAGGTTCTTCTCACCCAAACACCCTCACAAGCATGCTGAGAATGATTCTCAGAGACTACATGGGTAACCCAAGAGGCACCCCAAAGATGAGTCTAGAGGCCACAGGACAATAGACACCTGTTGACATCTCCATGGAAAACATTGCTTCATTTTTAGCCAGCGCTGTGTGGTCAGACCACTGTTTCACAGGCTTCCACCTAAAGGTCTCATGCCTTCCAACACACTTGTCCAACTCTACCTTGTCAGGAATGGTCTCAGAATGAGGATTCCCTATCCCCCGTTCCTGCTGAGCTTGTGAACTGGCTTCCTCTCATCAGCTAGCAATACACAGGGAAGACTTTCAGTCGATAACCCTAAAAGGAGAACTACTTCTCTAGGGAGACACAGTCAGAGAAATCTGGGATCTGTGGGCTTAGAGATGCATTGTGAGTGAGAGTTGACTGTCAGGGCTTTAAAGACAAGACATAGAGCAGTGGAAGGGGTAAGGTCTCTAGCACAGCAGACTGAGGGAAGGCCTCCTCCACAGCAGACAGGGGTGAGGTAGGACTCCACCACAGCAGACAGGGGTGAGGTAGGACTCCTCCACAGCAGACAGGGGTGAGGTAGGACTCCATCACAGCAGACAGGGATGAGGTAAGACTCCACCACAGCAGGCAGGGGTGAGGTAGGACTCCATCACAGCAGACAGGGATGAGGTAAGACTCCATCATAGCAGAGAGGGGTGAGGTAGGACTCCATCACAGCAGGCAGGGGTGAGGTAGGACTCCACCACAGCAGGCAGGGGTGAGGTAAGGCCATGACAGGAGACAGGGGTGAGGTAGGACTCCGTTACAGCAGGCAGGGGTGAGGTAGGACTCCACCACAGCAGGCAGGGGTGAGGTAAGGCCATGACAGGAGACAGGGGTGAGGTAGGACTCCGGTACAGCACATGGGGTGGGGATTCCATCAGGCCTGGATTGGGAAGATAGCTGCTTCTGGCTGGGAATCTTTGAGAGAAAATAATTTCATTGAAATATAGGTTTCAGGGACACCTCAGGGTTGCTGCAGGTGAAGTCACTCTCGGGGAAGCCTGTCGTTAGCAGTAAGAGCCTGGTACCTCTCAGGCTGTGGAAGACTGATTCCTGAGACTGGAGCTGGAGGAACGGTCACAGGAACTCAGGGTTATCCAGTCATATCAGGAGCAAACACCGCTGTCCTGGGGAGATGCAGATGCTGTAAAAGCACATCTCTGCCAGCCGTGGCGGTAGGGGTGCTGCGGTAATGGTGACTCGGTGATGGTGACAACGTGGTGGGAACAGAGGCCTGGGCCTTTTCGTAGGGTTTGACACAGTGGCCAAGATACTGTGTCCTGGTCACAGGAAATGGCTGTAGAAAGGGCTGCAGAAGCATCTTCAACTGCCGTCCCCTCTTCCTTCTCGTTGGAGTCCAACGCTCTGAGACACACTCATTCCCATTGCACTTGGGGAAGAGAAATGGCTTCTCCCAGCTGTGTCCAAAACACTAAGCAAATTTGACGGCTGGGCAAGTAGACCCAGAGCTCGGGGGAATCACTCTGCCACCGAGCAGCCCAGGCGGGGCTCATGACCCTGAGGGCCTGTGTTTCTTGCCAGGCAACAGAGAAGGCCAAGGCCAGCCAAGTTCTGCCTTCACATGCCAGATGAAGCCCAAGTAAACAGAGTCCTGCTCCAAATTCACCTTCTGTAGACAAGAGAGAGAGAAGGTAACAGGGGCCTGGACCCTGCCTCCTCTGGAACATAGCCATGCTCTGCTTCCTCTCCTTTCTCCCTCCCCAAGCCGGTCTGGAGGTCTTTGCATTTCCTTTGTAACTGACAACGGAGCAGTTCCCTTCCAGACATTCTCAGTTCTCCCCCAGGGCTGGCGAGACTTGCCCAGAGCACAGGAGTAGTCTGGGGTGTGAATGAGGTTAAGAGCTCTGGTGGGCAAGACATGGGAGCCAGGACACAAGTGTCTCGGGGGCCCCTGCCTTGCAGCTGGTAGAGGGACAAGGTGGGGTGGGAGAGCCAGAGGGGCGGAAGGCTCAGCTTACCAGCTCAAACTGGCAGTCGGTCTGTTTCAGACTGAGCTGGTCCCTATCAAGGCAATGGCGTTAAAGATAGTATGCTTAACTCTAGTCGTCTTGAGGGGAGAAACAGTATTAATATGGATCCGCCCCAATCCTCCTGGCCACCTAGACAGGCTACCCAAGCCCAGCTCTGAATCCATTTCGGTGTCTGCAGCTACTGGGTCTCGGAGCACGGAGAATTTGCAGGATAGACGCAGGACCCTGGAGTCAGGTTCTTTGGGGGTGGGATGGGTGGAGTAATAGGGGCAGGGGGAGTCCAAAGGGGTGAAGAGTCCCCAGCCTTGGGTCCTGACAGCCTGGGTGAGAGGCAGACTGACAGAGAGAGGCTGGGCGGGGACGCGGCCCCGGGGCGGGGACGTGGCTGGGGACCGGGATATAGCAGGGAATAGGCCGGCCAGCTTGGGTTAGGGGCGGCAGGAGGCGGGGTGATTATGGGCCCCGCCCCGAAGGGCCGTTGCAAAAGTTTGCCTCGGATCCTCTGGGGCAGAGTCTGGGTGAGCGAGTTCAGGGGAGAGCGACCAGGTCCGGGTGCTGAGCGAGGTGGCTGGACGACTCGGAGGAAAACCTGAGGCCAGGAACGACCTCCGGAGCCCCTAGGCTGGAGTCTTAGCTAAGACACCGCAGGATGCAGCCAGCCCAGATGTGCCTTGCAAACCGAGGTGAGCGGCGAGATCCGGCCGGGAGTTGTGCAAACCCGAATCTTGGGTTGAGAGGCTCTGGGTCCACCCGGACCACTCTTTGGATAAAATTCCAACCAAGTCGGGGCACGGCAGTGACCTGGGCTCGCGAATGCCTCGCAACCGGCCACCTCCTCCTCTTCTCCAGGTCATTCACTCCGGTGACCTAGCCACCTCCCAGGGCTGGTGGAGGGGGATAGGACTCTTTTAAATTACAACCAGGGCTTTTAAAATGTAAACCCTGAGCATAGTGAGCAGGCTTTCCAAATTCCCTCGCTTTACGTGACTAATTCAGAAGTTAGGTGTCCTCATTGGAAGAAAACCCGGGAATGGGGGGTGGCTGTGGTTTTTTTCCCTGGGGGGTGTCGTTCTTTTAAGTTTTATTAGCTACAAAATTCCAGTTTTCTTAGCACTTTTTAAACTAGGCAATTAGGGGTGTCAGCTCTGGAGCTGGAATACAGGGGTGCCTGCAACGCGATAATGAGGCTCTCAGGGAAAATTGGTACTGGGTTCTTAACTAAGATAGGATGGAGGGAAGAGTAGCTGTTAATCCTGTGCCTGCGCTTGATCTCTGTGTCCCTGTCTCTCTGGTCTTGGACACTTCTGATGTCTTGGACACTTCTGATGCCACATTCCTTATGTTTTGGTGTAAGAGGGATGTCTTGCCAGCTGTTTTAAGGGAATGCTTTGTTTGAACATCACGGTAACATCACCCTGAATGGAAGGCTCTTCTACCCTGTAACCTCCCCCACCCCACCCCCCAGCCAGTGCTCTGAGACCTCCAGAATCACTCACCATTCTAAAATCTGCAGTCAGAAGTCTCCGGTATTGCATATCACCACCTACAAAACTTATCTATTCAAAGTTCCTTCCTTCATAGGCGAAAACCAGGCAGACAGGGTCAAGAAACTGCAATTCCTAGAAAGTGGAGTGAAGAGTCATATACTGCAGGGAAATGGCTGCCAAGTGTGGCTGTGGTCAGGCTGTTTTGTTGAGGTGGTGATGGTGGTGGTGGTGTGTGTGTGTGTGTTTGCACACACATGTGTCTGTTCATGAGTATGCATGTGAAACTGTGAGTGTGTGAATGTGTAGGAGTGTATATGTGTGAGTATGTGCGTGTGGGAGAGTGTGTGAGTGTGCATATATGAATGTGTGTATGAAATGTGTATGTGAGTGTGTCTGTGTATGCTGTTTGAGGAGTTGTGGAGGTATCTATAGCTGTAAGCTTTTTAAGGGGTACAAAGCTCAGTTTGGGGTGAGTTACGATGCCATAGGAGCCCATGTTGGGTCTTCCTATCTGCAGACCAGAAGATGCTCACATCCGGTCAGTGTCTCTCTGTCTTCACACATGCCAGAGAGCCCACCTGCAGAGTCCACCCTCAGGGACCCCCCTAGTATGAGGAAAATGATGTCACAACTACTTAGCATCTTTCCAATGTCATTTATGATTTTCTTTTACACACACGACCCTCCTGGTTCTCTACCATATTTGGATATAGGATCTCTCACTTCCTGTGGAGCTCTGTGTTCTGGCCTGATGACCCGCTTCCCATGAATCAGGGACTGCTCCTCTTTCTGGAAATCGTGACACTTTGTCCCACAAATCTCTTCCTCGATGCCTACAGTTTATGGGCATATTGTGGTTACAAGAATAATCAAATGTTGAGTGTGTCATAATTTTGAAAATGTTGGGGTTCCCTTGTGGCTGTTAAATCCCCTTTTTCTACCAAAGGCAGAAGGTCGCTCTTAAACAAGTTGTGTGTGTTAGCTGACATGTGGCGCTGGGGTCCCTGAATCTTATCATCATGGCTACCTTCACCATTCCGTGTTTATCAATTTTGGATTCATGTTAGAGAATTCTAAAAGAGTTTCCACAGCACTTGAAAGGGGTGTTCAGCAGATGGACTGTGTCCCTTGTCTTTGGATGCTCCTTCCATTCTTCTGTCTTCAGAGCTATCCAAACACTCCACCAAAGCTCCCAGACTGACATTCCAGTAGCTTCAAGCAATTAAACTGTAAAGAGGCTTCAGAGACTCTTAGCACCTCCTAGTTAAGGGACCTATGACATGTGACTGACTCATAAAAAGCTTATCCCCAAAGGGATGGGCTGAAACAGATGCCTGGCATTCAGCCTAGCCAAGCTCTGCCTCCAAGACCACAGGATCTCTCCCAGCCTCAGTTTCCCTGTGTTCATTCAGAAATCGCATGCTATCTTGGGGATTAGATGTGACATGGAGTGACCAGGATGGACTTCCTGGGCAGGATACCTCATGTTTGTGCATGCCTTTATCTTCCTGATGGAAGATATTTCCACATGTCGACATTCATTTTCTGGAATCTTGGCAGTAAGTTGGTCCCCTGCCCTTACCGAGAACAAGCACCATAGGGAGAATTTGATAAGACTGCCTGGCAGGCAAAGGAGGGAAAAGAAAATAAAGGCCTTGCATCATAACCTGATGCCTTCTTACAGATGTGTCATTTGGCCCAGGACATTCACAGGGCAGCCAGCATTCTTGGGACATGACCTCCATATCTGGGGTTTCTTGGACAACATCTGGATCTGTAACATCATCTCGTCTGCTAATGAGGACGTGTAGGGCAGACAGCAGGCCCCGTAAAGCCCCACCAGGCAGAGGGACTTGTATCCCTGCTTGAAGGAAGAAAAGCGGGAGAGATGGAAAGTCTTCACCCCCCTCCCCCTTTCATCTGTAACCTTTATCTCTCAGGGTGCTTCGGGGATGAGCCTGGTGTGTGGTGCTGAGGGAGTGAAGCCTCCATTCTGTCCAGGACTGTCTCTGGAGGCAGAGTGAGGCCAAGGCAGAAAACCAGAGTGAGGCGACTCATTAGCAAAGGCCCTTTCCAGGATTGGGAGCCATGAACTGGGCCCGCTGGTTATTTCACTTCTCCAGTCTTTTAAGTGAAGATGAAAACAAAGCGGACTGCAGCTTTCCGAGACCTGCTGTTCGCTGTCAAATCGTGGCTGCTTTGATTCAGCTTAGAGGATGAGGTCATCGGTGTCCCTGGAAGGACATGTCTTTGCAAACATGGAGTCCTTCCTCTGACCAAGGGAGATTTCTTTTTCTCAGAGAGAGAAAGAGGGAAGGAGGAGGGAAAAGAATAGAAAAGAGGAGGGGAGGAGGGGGGAGAAGACGAGACAGCAGAGATATTTGCCCCTGCCTTTCCTTCTTTTTATAGTTTGTTTACTTTTTACGCTGCCATATGGAGAAAGTGAGTCGCTAGTGCGGAAGGGCACATCTGGAAACCATCGGACCCTTCTCCCAGGCTGCTTCCCCCAAGGGACGCAGCTTTTGGATTGGATTGGGGGGAGGGTGCCTAATATTGGCGGGGTCTTGCGTGGGGTCACCCACCACGGAGCCATTTGGTCAAGGCGTCTCCCTTCCTTCTAGGCAAAAAGAAAATCCATTTGGTGTCGGATTCTTACGGAGAGCTGTGTGATCAGCATCGTGAGGCCAAAATGGTGCTCAGGTGCCGGGTGCAAGGACAGCTCAGATGTGAACAGTGGCTTCCATTAAACACAGAGTGGCTGTGACCGTCAGATCAGAGGGGCCAGCAGAGGGGGGTGAGGAGTCCGTAGGGGTGCAGGGGTGCTTGCTAATGCAAACACCGGGAGTGTGCTGATGAACACAGGCAAGGAAGGAGGACTATAGAGGAATGTGAGCTGAGAGACCGAGACCGGTGCTGCTGAGAGATCTCTACCAGAGCTCAGCGGAACCTCCCTAGCTGCAGAGGACGCCTCACATTTTAGAAGACTAACCACAATCTCAACATCAGATTTCTTTTTTTAAAAAAACCCTGTGTGGAGCCGGGCGGTGGTGGCGCACGCCTTTAATCCCAGCACTCGGGAGGCAGAGGCAGGCGGATCTCTGTGAGTTCGAGGCCGGGCTGGACCGATAGCCTCCGAAACAATACAGAGAAACCCTGTCTCGTAAAAACCAAAAAACAAAAAACAAACAAACAAAAAAAAAAACCCTGTGTGAGTGGTGTGTGTGTGGTGTGTGTATATGTGTGAATGGTGTGTGTGCATGTGTGTGTGATGTGTATGTGTGCATGTGTGTGTGTATGTGTGCATGTGTGTGTGTGATGTGTATGTGTGCATGTGTGTGTGTGATGTGTATGTGTGCATGTGTGTGTATGTGTGCATGTGTGTGTGTGATGTGTATGTGTGCATGTGTGTGTGATGTGTATGTGTGCATGTGTGTGTATGTGTGCATGTGTGTGTGTGATGTGTATGTGTGCATGTGTGTGTGTGTGTGCTCATGCATGCCAGTGTGTGTGTAGAGGTCAGAGGACAACCTCAGGTGTCAGTCCTTGCCCTCCCACCTCATTCGAGGCGAGGTCTCCTTGGTTGTTCACTGCTGTGTATACCAGGCTAGCCCGTCTGCTGGCAAATCTGGGTATTCTTCCATCTCGTACGGGAGTGCTGGGATTTCAGAAGTGCACCATCATGCCTGGCTTTCCATGCCACCTGGGGAGTCAAACCCAGGCTCTCAGCCCATGCACAAAGTGCTCTGAGCCATTTCCCCAGCCCAGGAGCTTCCTTTTGTTCCAATGGAAATGAATCAGCAGTCCGACTTACAGGGCTATTGCTTCCCCTAGGCAGGCGGATCTCTGTGAGTTCAAGGCCAGCCTGGTCTACAGAGCCAGTTCCAGGATAGCCTCCAAAATGATACAGAGAAACACCCCCCAAAAAAACCAGGGTCATTGCTCATTGCTTCCCCAAGTACAATGCAAGACTGCCTGCTGCATCCAGCTTGCCTTCAATGGGGGCCCTTTGACGCATTTCATAGGCCGAGCTGGACACCTGCTTGTCAGAGAGGCCAGCACTTCCTGGTCGTGGTTATATCACCACCCTTTATACCAGCATGCCCCTTAGAACCCAAGGATGGTGGGCAAAGATAGAGACACCTGTCCACCAAAAGACTGTGAGAACCAACACAGGGGGTGTTGGGGGACAGGGGGTGGGGCAGGGGGTGGGGGGATTGCTGTTGCCTATAAGCCAGAGCCAACAGAGGGTGAGCAGACACACAATAGTCTGTGAGCAGGAAGGGTTTGGCTGCGTCCACAAACCTGGTTAACATGAGCATCCTGGGGCGTGGTGGGGGCATGCCAGATGTGGGGTATCCCATGTGTTCATATATATACTGGGAGAAACAGAATAAATCCACTTGCGCTGGGAAACCCAGACAGTGGTCACAATGGGTGACAGTGGTGACCAGCAGATGACCCCCGGTGACCCTGTTGCTGATCTGAGTGCTGGTCTCAGGGTGTTTGGGTTGTCTGTGTGGTGTGGGTCAGGCTGGCCTCCTGGTGTACCCTGTAGTGACTTGGTGACAGTACTTAGATGCCAGGCCTCGCCCTACAAAGAGTTCACTGATACCAAAGGCTCAGGCTATCTTTTAGTGAAGGAGAGGTCTGTGGGCGGCACCCCTCGGGAACAGAGGAAAGAACTTCTGTGAACTGCATCTGACCACACATGGTGACACCAAGATGTATCCAAAATCACCTGGTGTTTGGTCCAGGACTTAGCTCCCAGGATGTGGCCCGCTGTGTGATATCGAAAAACCAGAGGAAATATATGTTTAGGTCCCAAAGAGAAAGACAGCTCCAAATTGCAAATGCAGAGAATCATATTTAACAAAAGATGAGCTATAAAATCTCAGGTCCTGAGAGATGAGTTTTAATTAAGGAGAACCATCATCCAAGCCTTCGTGGCAAACTGGGCTAGCCTACTAGCCTTTGGCCTCCACAAGTCCTGGCGTGCCCACTCTCATTTTCTCTGTGGTTATTTAATTGCTAGGTGTTTGCTTTTGCTGTTCTCTTGTTTTTCTTCCACTCTGCCCAGCCTTGTGCATACTCTTGCTGAGATCCTGTTCCTCACCCTCTGTCCCTCCTGAGGGAGTCCCGATCGGCTCTCTTCCCCTCTGCTGACACTTGAGGCAAAAGCCCAGACTTTCCAGGGAGTGATGAGGTGTGTCAGAGTGCTGTGGGAGGTTGGGAAATCGAGGCACAGGAGGCAACTGAGTTGGTGTGAGAGCATCCGGAGCGCTAGGGAGATGGCTGGGTTGGCAAAGAGCTCGACTCTCACGCATGAGGACCTGAGTGCAATTCCCAGAACTCAGGCGAAGCAGAAGCGTTCACTTATAATCCCAGTGCTGGGGAGACAGAGACAGGAGGATTCCTGGGGCTTTCTGACCAGCCAGTCAAGCCTACTAGGCAAGGGCCAGGCCAGAAGAGAGACCTTGTCTCAAAACAAACAAACAAATACCCAAAGTAGGCAGCATCTGAAGACAACACCCCAATTAGTGACTAACTGTGCCATCCACCAGGTCACAATGCCCAGGTTTGTCTCAAAATGTCCCTGGGCTGCCTGCTCTGCCATCAGGGGCATCTGTCCCAGGAATGAACACACTGTGTTTGAAGCCTGGATCATAGCACAGGTGGAAACTGATACTCAGCTCTAGCTTTTTTCTCAGATTAACCTAGGTGTGCACACGGGCGCATGTGTGTGGAAGCCAGGGGTTAATTTGGGGTGTTGTCCTCAGATGCTGCCTACTTCCTCTAGTATCTGGAGGAACTGTGACAGCTGCTGTGACAGGGACAGCCCCCACAGGGCATGAGGCTGGACACTGGTCATGACGATGACATTCCTGGCTTTGGTGTCTAGTCTTGACTATCAACTCGATGGCATTGGGAATCAGCATGGAAACAAACTTCTATGAGCCAAATAAGCCCTTCTCTTCCTAAGGGCTTTCGTCGGGTATGCTGTTGCATCTCAAAAAACTGTCACTGCTTATAATTTCTAGTCTTCAAATGAGAGCTTGCAACATCCTTCTTAAAGTGATGGCAGCCTTGAGGAAAGGCCGTAGGGGCTGCCCTGACCCTAGAAGCCATAAGGCGAGTAGAATGTGACAGACAGACAGACAGACAGACAGGCTGACAGACAGACAGGCTGACAGACAGACAGACAGACAAGGTTTAAATAAAAATCTGGAGGGCTGGGCTGAGGATGAGTGTTTAGTTAGTAGTCCAGAGGCTCTGAGTTCCATCCCCAGCACTGCGTAAGAACAAGTATGGTGGCTCCAGCTTGTAATCTCAGCCCTTGGGAGACAGAGGCTGGAGGTCAGAAGTTCAAGGTCATCACAGCAACTTTTAGGTCAGGCTAGGTTACACGATACCCTCTGTCAAAAAAGAAGGAGAAGGAGGAGGGAGAGGAGGAGGGGGAGGAGGAGGAAAGGAGGAGGAGGAGGGGGAGGAGGAGAGGAGGGGAAGGAGGAGGGGAGGATGGGGAGGAGGAGGGGGAGGAGGACTATCACCACCACCATCTCGGGTATCACCACCATAAGAACAATCACTAACACTACCATCACCAGTACCACCAGGGTGGGGAAAGAGACTTGCAGAATGGAGCTGCCTGCCTCAGGCGTTGTGAATATGCCAATGCTCCCAGCCCAGCCCTCTGCATTTCAAGTCACACTCAAAGTTCATGCCATTTCCCTCCCTCTCCTTTAACCTCCGAGGCAGCTGGTTCCAGGATGGTTCGCAGTCCTTCCTCCCTGGGCTCTGCTCAGTGCAGTGGCCTCAGGGTTCTTGCTCAGCCTCAGGCTGTTCTTCCTGCCCTGCCTGTGTGGTCATGCCGTAAGGCTGTCTGCCAGGTGGGCCAAAGGCCCATCCGGACCTCAAGGGAATTGGTCCAAGGAAGTATGGGCGCTTCCCATTGTGTCCTCCGAAGCTCATCCGGGAGGACACAGAACTCCTCAGCCGCCATCCCCCATACTGTGTGCTGATTTTCTCCACCTCTCCTCCCCTCCCTCTCATCCTCCCCTCTGTCCTTCCTTCTCTCTCCCTCCCTTTTCCCCATCCTGAGAAAAATCTGGTTCCCTCTGCAGCTGGGAACACTGGCTTACCAGCTCCCACGTGGTGGATGAGAACTAACTCAGTATTTCCTGGTGCCTGGACGTTTCCAGGTAGAAGCTCCCTGGCACCTTCTGCCTTAGAACACTGAGGTTCCTTCTGTGGCAGCTGCAGTAACAGCTTTCCCTGGTCTCTACTTGACTAACAGGGCCTGAGACCCAACCCTCCCTGCACACCAGCCCTCCAAATGTGCTAGCGTTTTCACGGAGATCACTTGATCCAAGGTTCCTTCTTTCTTCTCCTTACAGATCCGATTTTCTGCACTCTTGCTGGATCCAGGCCTGCACGCCTTCTGGAATCCACCATCACCAGCCCAATTGTTCCCTGAAATGAACGTTCCTGGAGCGCCCTCTGGTGGACTGTTGCGGTGACCATCTGTCTTTAGGAAGTCATGGCAACGCATGCGCAGACCCACCAGCCGGTCTTAGGAAATGATACTCTCCGGAAACATTACGATTACGTGGGGAAGCTGAAAGGCAGGCAGGACCCCCCTGATGATGGTACCCCTGTCACCACCATCCTCTTCTTGGTCACCTGTAGCTTCATCGTCTTGGAGAACCTGATGGTTTTGATTGCCATCTGGAAAAACAATAAATTTCACAACCGCATGTACTTTTTCATCGGCAACTTGGCTCTCTGCGACCTGCTGTCCGGCATAGCCTACAAGGTCAACATTCTGATGTCCGGCAGGAAGACATTCAGCCTGTCTCCGACAGTGTGGTTCCTGAGGGAAGGCAGTATGTTCGTGGCCCTCGGCGCGTCCACCTGCAGCCTATTAGCCATCGCCATTGAGCGGCACCTGACCATGATCAAGATGAGGCCCTATGACGCCAACAAGAAGCACCGGGTGTTCCTCCTGATTGGGATGTGCTGGCTGATCGCCTTCTCGCTGGGCTCCCTGCCCATCCTGGGCTGGAACTGCCTGGAGAACTTTCCCGATTGCTCTACCATCTTGCCCCTCTACTCCAAGAAGTACATTGCCTTCCTCATCAGCATCTTCACGGCCATTCTAGTGACCATCGTCATCCTGTACGCACGCATCTACTTCCTGGTCAAGTCCAGCAGCCGACGGGTGGCCAACCACAACTCGGAGAGGTCCATGGCCCTGCTGCGCACTGTCGTGATCGTAGTGAGTGTGTTCATCGCCTGCTGGTCCCCCCTTTTCATCCTCTTCCTCATTGACGTGGCCTGCAGGGTGAATCAGTGCTCCATCCTGTTCAAGAGTCAGTGGTTCATCATGCTGGCTGTGCTCAACTCGGCCATGAATCCAGTCATCTACACTCTGGCCAGCAAAGAGATGCGGCGTGCCTTCTTCCGGCTGGTGTGTAGCTGCCTAGTCAGGGGCCAGGGGACCCAGGCCTCGCCCATGCAGCCTGCTCTTGACCCAAGCAGAAGTAAATCCAGCTCCAGCAACAACAGCAGCCATTCTCCAAAGGTCAAGGAAGACCTGCCCCACGTGACCACCGCTTCCTGCGTCACTGACAGAAACAGACCGCTTCAAAATGGGGTCCTCTGCAAGTGACCGTCTCCAGAGGGCCAGCTCTTCAGGCACGCTTATTTATTGCACGCATTACTTCCACGTGGGCTCTTGGAGACCTTGACTTTGGGGGTCTGCTTGACGTGGCCACAGTGTGGCATCTCCTGAGGAGGGGCCCCGAGGACTCATCAACGTATTTCAGCCTGGACGTGGATGAGCCTTGTCTGTGGCAGGCTCCTTCTTTTCTGAATGTACCAAGCTGCTGACGTCATCCATTGCCTTTGGATGCCGCGCTCCCTGGTCCAGGGAGAGGGCAGGTGGTGATGTGCTGCGCACAGCGCACCTTGGGATGATGTTTTTTTACTCTCACACTACATTTATTTTTCATAGGTTCATATTTTCATGGGTGCTCATGTATGTGTTTGTCTGTGTCCGTGTTGCATAGTATGTGTACGCCAGGTTTTCCCAGATGGAACCCGCGTGAGGTGTCAGTCCTCACGCATCATGTAACTGTTTCTCCAAACCTGCCTCCACTGCTGTGCCAGGTTCGGGGTCACCATGTGCTAAGGTGACGTGCCCTTCCCAGTCCTCTGGCTCTGGTGTTCTAGCTCGTAGGAGTGGAAAGTTACCGAAGCTCTGTATTCTCAAAAGCCTTCCCCCAAGAGAAGCCCGGATGTGCGTCCTACCCTCACATTCCTGTGTCCCTCTCTCTTGTGCCACATGCATAAGCTTAAACACATCTGAAAGCCTAATTAGGTGACATTTTGGGCATTTCTGAAAATGACAGAAAAGCCAGCCAGGATATCTCAGACCCCTGGTAGACCACGAAAGGAGGAGCCCCTGAGGAAGCGGCAAGGTGCTCTCCATCGTGAGTCTCCTGTGCAAGGGACTGGATTTCCAGCAGTCCCTCAGTGGTGTGACCCTGAGTTCAAGTCTCCATACAAGAGCTTGAGGTCAAGGGTCCCCTTTGCTGTCACTGGCAAGGAGCTAGAGCTGTCAGCAAAGTTTCTCAACTCTCTCAGTGTGGGTCCTGACCAGGGCCATTCAGTGAGAGGACTTTGCCAGGCTAGGAGGGGTGATGTGTTATTTATGCATTCTTCAGAGAACCGGCGCCATTCCCTTATGATAGACGCTCCCATCGCTTGGACCTGTGTTCTTTTGTCCACCTTGTAAAGGAAGTGTTCAGAAGGTACCTTGGAACTGCTCCTCCTCAAGGACTCCAGCCACAAGACACACAGATGGAAAGCAGGTGTGTCTGGGGGCGCTGGCCAGCACCAATGATCCCAGAGAAGCCTTCAGACGGACTCTCGCTGAGGGAAGCTCATGTCAGAGGTCCCTATAAGTTGATTAGCATCAGAGACCATTGCCTTGTGAGCCCTGAAAGGGCAGCCTTTACATACCAGGGACCGTTTAAAAGCTGACTTTTCTCTTGGTTACCTGACAGCATTTGCTCTCGCTTAGGGACTTTTGTGTGGCTCCTAGGTAACCATGGGCTGATTGGCTAAGGAGTTTCCTTGAGTCACTCCTGGTGGATGTAGAGTACAGCCGAGAAGATGTTCTGCTGGGGCAGTCGCTCTGCTCTCTTCTCTACATCACTGAAAAAACTAACTTATTCTCTTGTCAGACAGCATTGACAAAACCCAAAGCATTTCTGGGAAAGGAAAGCATGAAGGCGCTGGGTTAAGGGAAACAGAACACAAACAAACAACCACAACTGGAAAAAAGAAAAACAACAGACCAGTGTACAGGAGAGTTGAGGTGGAAAGAATGGGGCTTGAGGACATGCTCTTTCATAGTTGGAATGCTTTGAAGCCACGGACCTGGGTCACTAATATTAATAACACACGTCACATGACCCTGACTTGGGAAATTCTCCTATGTCTATTTTCCTTCCACAGCCCTTGGAGGGAGCCATGCCCACTGTTCCCACTAGGAGGCAACAACATTTGTAGCATGACAGACTTTGAAGCGATCGAAGTTAAAAGCACACTAAAAATCTAACTGCGCTCACTTGATGTATCCAAAACTGATCGGTCCCCCATGCTGCTGGTGCATTGCTTTCGCTAGCTAGCCACCTGTACAGCATTTAGACGTCGGGTGTGTCCAAGCCCTCGCCCTGACAGTCAGAAACAAGTGGCCCGACACCAGGGAACTTGGGGCCCACCCAGGGCTGTGTGCAACCTTTATTACTTGCAGTTTATGTTTATTGATAATAAATAAAACTAAAAGACTTCATATGAAACCCATTCTTGGGGTCTGTGTGGTAGACTGTCTGCTGCTTTGCAATAGACACTCAGGGGTGTAACAGGGTGGTCTTCCTTCTCCCGTGGTACCTGGTTGCCCAGCATTTCAGGAATAAACCACATTTAGAAACTCAATCACTATGTTCCTTATCCCTTAGCTCCATCTGACAGATGTTGCTAGAATGAAGCTTTAGTATACTGGACGCTGCTGATCCCAGTCTGGGTAGATAGTGTTTTCCTGTTGCTGGCAGCTGTGGTGCTGAGCGTGTATCTGTGGTGATGCACATGTGTGTTACTGTGCACGCAGGAGTAGAGGCCGGGTTGCTGTTGGGTGTCTCACTATGACTCTCTACCTTATTTTTTGAGACGGAGTCTCTCACTTAACCTGAGCTGCCTGTTTGGCTAGACTGACTGGTCAGCGAGCCCCTGCAGTCTGTCTTCCTTCTGCTGGGCTTATAGACACAACCTGTGGCTTTAGGTAGGTACTGGGCATCTCCATGGAGTCATATCCAAGCTAGATCCCATGTTTTGAAGAATTCCCATAGCTCCCTTATAGAGAAGAAATTATAAAATAAAAAATAAAAACATTGTCCAAGCAGAGGGCACCAGCCCTCTGTGCAAGATGGGAAAGCAGGTCAGCACCGGCCCTCAGAGCTGTCCTACAAGTAGTAGCTCTTAGCCTCTAACTTGCATCCCACACAAAGGATCCGTGCTTGGTGTGATGTTCTGGAGACTACAGTGTTAAAATTTGTAGTTAGAAGTCCCCAGCGCAGCCTTTCCCCGTCTCTCACCTCTGGCCGGCCCACAGCTATCTGTGTTCCAGATGGCGAAGTGGGTGTGAATCTTGTGTTTCTGCCAGGTCTCCGTGTTTTCATCTGAGGCAAAGCAGAACGCCTACTTTCCAGAGAAAACTTCCAATCTATCTTCCTGTCTTCCGTGAGGCATAGCAGATCCAGAGCCAGTGAGTTTGCTCAGCAGGCATTGGTACATGCCACCAAACTTGAGGACCTGAGTTAGATCCCCAGGACCCACATGTTAGAAGGAGAGAACTGACTCCCACGAGTTGCCCTCCAACGCCTACACGTGTACCATGGCACCATACAAACATAAGCTCCATCACACAAGCCAGAGACACTTTTCACAATAGCCTTTATTGCCAACAGACTTATACACCTACAGTCACTGAAACAATTAACTATTTAAAAATGCTTACTTGTCTCAATCTTTGAGCTGTGGTTATTCTGTGCTGGGAAAGAGCCATTCGCAGAAATGTAACAAGGTGCATTTTATAGAAAATTCCTAATTTCCATGCTTTGGAAACTGTATGGACAAGTGCAAACCTCATCACCCAAATGTTTTAGTGTCTAAGTAGAGGTTCAGAGGGGCTACTATGGAATCCGAAATGCATGAATGGCTGTCTAGATGATGAAGGCACATGTCCCAGTACCTAATAATAACAAGAAGAGCAGCATTGTCAAAAGTAGTTGGCCTGCCACCTGCCATACCTGGGCCATGGGGAGGTGATGATATATACTGCCTCTACTTGGTCATCCCATAAGCTTGAGTGTGGTCTGTCAGGCCCATGGTGAAGGGCACGGAACTAGAAGCAACACCATTCCCCGAAATAGTAAGATGGAGCCCCTGGAGGTAAGGCAGTCCAAGCCAATAACCTTTGCCTGTTGTATCGTGGGATCTCCAAATGTTCGCAAATCACATAAGTTTTATCATAGAAAAATATTAGAAAACTTGAAATTGGTTTTATATTTCTGCTCCTCACAGGTGACTTAGGAAGTCAATTCCATGCCAGTATCAAAGTAGAAAGGTTTGGGTTGGCAATAAACCCAGACAGACTGCTGTTATAGCAATTGTCTGTGTCTCACAAAAGTTAACAGAAACAAAATGTTCCAAATATTCATATATCAATATGTATGACCATCCAAATGCTTTTGAAAAACAAATACCTTGTTACACATTACATTTATGCTGAGCTGTCTCCAAATCCGGGGTCTTTAAACACCAGATGTTTAATTCTGAACACAAATAAACTCACATAATTTCACAATACTCTGAAACAAGTTAGAGCTGAAAGTCAGTTGAACAGAGAACAGTCAATTGGCAACTCACACATAGTGTTAAAAAAAGAGAGAGAGAGAGAGAAGAAGAGGAGGAAGAAAAGAAACTCATCGCCCAAGTCTGGTTAGTCCATTCATCCCTGCCTTGGGAGCTGTCGCTTGACTCCAGTGTCAGTGGCTTTGGATGTGGGAAAATGTCGTGAGTACAGTGTGAGATGATACCTTGAAAGGTTCACCCCACAGGACGGTCCCCCATGCACGGTGGGTATACAAAGCTGATCCTGTCCTGTGTCCTCTCTCACCCTAAGACAAGAATCAGTGTGTCTGAGGGTCTCGGACTCACCCAGGATGTCTGAGCAAGAGGAAAGGCAGGCTATCTGCAGCCCTCGGCATCAGCAGTTCCCATGCAGGGTTACATCTTCAACTTTTGCGCCCTTTGCAGCCTCCCAGGCTCCACAGCGCCACCTACTGTGCAAAGTCTTCAGAGCCCCCAGCTCAGTGGTGACCCTGGGTCCTACCTAACTGGATGTGGGCACATCGGCACTGAAAGGCCTCCCACACTCCACCACTCCCCCCCGTGTGTGTTAGGGGTCAGGTTCCTAATAAATTATAAGCAGGGGCAGATGCACCTATGCCTCCTTCTCTGTCCCAAGAGTCCCTCCAGGGCCTGCTGCATAGGACATAATGTTCAAATGTGGCCAGGAAGGCTGGCAAGCCAGGTCAGGCTGTGCCTGAGCAGTGCCGGAGCCAGAATAAAACATGGGTCTGCAGTTGTTTTATCTGCTCTTCCTTATCTTCGACTGACTGCTTCCCACCCCTCTGTTTAGTTCTGTTGAGACACTGCCTCATATAGCCCTGGTTGTCCCTGAACTACTGAGGCTCCGGCCTCTACTGCCCAAGTGCGATGACTGCAAACATGCATCACTATATCTGTCTGTCTTGCCATTCCATAGCACTCAGGGTTCCCTGGGTCTGCTGATGAGAGCCTATCAAGCCCCAAGTTCTTGACGCCATTTTGATTTACGGTTGTCCGTGTTAGAAAACCCCAGAGGCTCAAAATACCCAGTACAGAGTTGATCTGCGTGTGGGTACACACACGCTTTCCATCTGAATCAAGGAAAGTTTGTGTATGTATATAATACACACATGCAGTTCACACTCGAAAAACCTGCTACAAAGTTGCAAGTTGTTTTTTTTTTTTTCTGGCTGCTATAAAATGTGCCAGTTTTAAAACTGTGCATTTGTTGCTTGCAAACTTATAAATATGTATAAACCCCATTATAAATAAATCTTGTCTGGCAGATGGCATTTTATCTGCCAGCCACAGTTGCAGGGAGTTGTACTTATTAATTCTCCATTTTTAAATTCACAGCATGGACCTGGGATCTATAATGTGAAGTGTGTGAAAAAAAGTCTCCATACAAGGTGGGTTTGGGTAGGGGAGTGGGGGTCACCAGTAAGAGTCAAGGAAGGGCTGGAGACTCACCAGGCAATGTCAAAGCCGAGACCCCTGGCATCGGCATAGCCTCATGCTGAAAATGCAAGCATGCTATCCTCGTTCTAGGCCCCCTGAGCTGGGAGCTCAAGGGCAGAGCCCTGACATCTTAGTGTGGGCTAAGCAGCCTGATGCTTCTACGCCTGCCTTCTGCTCTGAGACTGTTTATTATAAACACCAGCCTCTGCCCCAGAATGTCCCAGCTTGCAGAGCTCGCACGGGTATGCACAGGGTGGGGACAGAAATCACTGCAGATAGCCCTCCACTCATGCTGGCTCTGGGGGAGCCCCTTCCTCTCCCCCTCCACTAGCCATCTCAGGTATATTCAGTTATGCTTCCAAGACTCCGCAGCAGATAGATGCCCCACGTGTACACTTGGTGGGAGCATGCTCCCCATGCAACCATTCCTCATCAGCCAATTCCCTCCTGACTCCTGGGATCATTTCCAAAATCAGCTATATGTACCCAGAGCCCCTCTGATGCCCCATTTTGTAAGAACACCAGCTAAGTAGACAACCACAAGTCCTGTCTCTCTCATGTAAATGGCCCAGTCCTTCATGTGTTTCAAATTGTGAACTATAAGGATAAATGGACTGCTTGTTACTTCCATAGAGTGAGTTGCATGTTTGAGCCCCAGAAGGCCTTGGTAAGTCGGGCATTCTTGCCCAAATCTAGCCACTGATCATTGCCATCCACTGCCTGGCTCAGTGTCTTCACCTGAAAAACAAGGCCCCCTCCAAGACAGTTGAACTGTCTTGGAAACACCTGCCCATTATCCCAGACAGAGCCAAGAGTTCCAGGTTTGCAATATGTCCCAGGAGTGGGGTTTATCTACACTGTCTTTCTTGGAAAACACTTCAAAAGTTTCATAAGAACTAGCATCACACAGATTTGTCTGGGCACATGATCTCTTTTGCAATCTTTCTTCTATCCTCCTCCTACTTAAAATCTGGCTGTCACCATCCACAGAAGTTGTTTATAGATGGCAAGCCATCTTTGGCCTGTGGGGGAGAAGAGAAATACATGTTGTGAATGAAAAGTCCCAGGAAGTCACCTTCTGTGCACGTCACATATTTATCAACCCACACCACTCTTTGAGGAAAGTCCCAGGGTGTGGCAAAGCCACGTCTCAGAGGACCCATCTGGCAGCCAAAGCCTCATTGTTCTGGCACTGTGGTTCAGCCTCGCGCTTCTAGCTGTAGGGGGCTTAGCTTTGCCGAGGTGGCCACTGCTGCATCGCTATCTCGGGGGAAGTTGGGTTTCTCTCACCTCACTCCAACAAGAGGAGGATATGGTACTGGCTCTAATACGTCCACTCCCATAAGGAAGCCTCCTGGGGATCTGATGTTGCCATGGGGAAGGCCTCCTTTTGGCTTTCCCAATCCAGGACACCAGGATTGACATGGAGCCTAGACACATGGCGGTTGTGACCTGAAGCCTATGGACTTTGGAGGAATTCATTCTCCCTTGTCCTTTCCTCCCTTCCAATCTAGGCTTTTCCCTCTCCTCATGGTTTAACACAGCCTTCACTTACAACTGCCTCTGTTGCCAGGAGAACCCCCCAGTTGCCACATGTGGCCTATTTGGCATCAATCCATTAGCCCACCATCTGAGTTGCTCATCAAGATTGAGCAGGCACCTGGCTCTTGGTCCTTTAAATACTGAAAGGACACCATGGTAACATGAGTGTAGATTGAAGATTGAGCTGTTTGAATGTCTCGTTAGCAGACTGCCCACCTTATGGTGGAGGGAAAAGTTCAAGAATCAGAGCCAACCTAGACCATGATGAGCAGCCCCCTGGGAGGCCCAGCCTCGCCAGCATGAAGAGGCTATTTGAAGCACAGCTAACTCTCCCAGAAGGGCAAGGGAAGGAGTTACTAGGCAGAGGATTTAGGGCCACTGTGCAAGAGCAGATGAGCCACTTTAAGACTGTTGAGCCTCATCTTGCACCATTAATAGATGCAGAGTGCTGGGTGGGTGTGGCAGAGCGCCCCCGAGAATGAGCACAGGATTCATGGTGGTGTGACGGAGTGTGCCCGTGAGAATGAGCACAGGATCTAGGCACACCTCCCATGCTCCTGCCTGGCATAGACTCAGTCTCTGTGCCTGGGAGTCATAGTCCTCAATGCACGATACAGTGATGTTCTGCCTGGAGCTGCTGCTCTGTAGCCTGTAACCCTGCCCCACCCAGGCAGCTATGGGCGGAAGCCGTGGGGAAAGAGGCTCAGGCTTGAGGAGGAGGTTCTTTTGGGTTTGCCTCCAAGCCTCAGATGAGACTAGCCCACAGATGAGCACAGAAAGCACTGACTGAGTAGAATGGCTCTACTATTAGCTGACCAAGGGACCAGAAGTAAGCCTCAGTTTCCCCGTGTGTAAGTGATGCCCCAGGCAGTGTCCCATCACACACACAGTGTTTGCAGAAGGAAATGATAAACCAGTGTGACCTTTGACTTGCTTTACAGGAAACACAAGTCAGAGCAGGGCTGCCATGCACAACCTCTACACTCTGCCTTGTGTCTGAAATTTCCAGTCCTGTAATCTGAGATCAAAATTCCACATTTAGAATTAAAATTGAAAAGAAACACATTGGCCCCGATACTTTAAATGTTCTAAACTGAGTTCTACCACCCTCAAACTCAACACTGGCTTCACAGGAGACAACTGTAACCTCTGAGTTCTGCTTTTTAACTTCCCTGGAGAGGGAAATAAAGTTGGGCAAATGCTGAGGTGCCCACAGACTGCAACACTTTCCTGGTGACTTGAACTTAGGCATTTTAGCCTTGCAAAGTGGAGCATTTGAGAATGGGGGGAAACGGTATTTATATACATTTTTTGTAGCATGCATTCACATAGGAGCAACAGAACCTGCATGTGTGTGCACAAGGCATAGTCTCCTGAGAAGCAAAATGCAGGGTAACTCTTAGGAGCACCCCACAGCCCATGTCTGCGGTCACAGGGCAAGAGTCTGAGCCAGGGGCTACCAGTATATCTTCTCATCTCCGGGGCTTCATCCATGTAGTGTCTGTCACCAACAGCATTCAGTAAGTAGTAGGATAGTGATGTTAAGGCTAGGTCCCCCAGAATTCTAATTCTAGAACATTCTACTGCCAACTCGGATTCAGTGGGCCAGACTCACCAGTTAGCACCTAACTGACCACACTACAGCAGAAGCTGGGCTCGAGCACTTAGTGTTAGAGCCATGCAGAACCCTGATTTACCTAATGTATGTTTCCTCTTAACTAATCCTTTAAAATATTAATTTGCTTTTATACATATGGGTGGCTTTGCTTGCATGTATGTATGTGCATTGTGTGCCTACTTGGTACGCATGGAGGCCAGAAGAGGATAGATACCATGGGACTTGAGCTACAGACAATTGTGAGCAGCCATGTGGGTGCTGAGAATTGAACTTGAGTCCTCTAGAAGAGCCAATGTTCTTAACCACTAGACTTGTCTCTCTCTCTCTCTCTCTCTCTCTCTCTCTCTCTCTCTCTCTCTCTCTCTCTCTCTGTACACACACACCTCTTAAATACCCAATTTATAACCATCCAACCCTAAAATGTACAGAGTCCTATGCTTCCTATCCTACTGGCCAGGGGTGCCACATACACATGGGATCTCAAGGGGACCAGCGTCCAGGTTGCAGTCTTGGAGGTACCAACCAACAAATGCAACATCTGCCTGTGTTTGTTAAGTCACAGAGTGATCGCAGTCCAAATGTTTTGTAAGTCATAGGCATAGCCAACTTTGGAACATGAAATCGCCTGTCAGCCTCTGAACTGGTAGGAAAAGGGTCAAGACAGAGGGCCATGAGCATGGTCCCTTTTCACTTGGGCTACTGAGAAAATGTGGAGGGGGAGGGGAGGTGCCTCACCATCCCTCACTTCAGACGGTTCCAAAGACTTTGGAGCACAGCGCTGAGCACGCATGGACATGGGAGGAGCAGCCAGTGGGTGTGTCTCCAAGGCTCAATTCTGGGCAGAAGCTGGTGGTACCTGCCTTGCAAGGCTCTTACACATGCTTTTTGTTCTACTGAATACAAGAGGTAAGTAGGAGGCCACTGCACCAGCATTCTACATACTGCCTGCGATGAACACCCAGTGTGTTCCGTATGTCTGAAGTCACACGATCAGTCGTGTCAGTGTGTCTCTATGCATGAAGGACACACAGACCAGGAACACTTTCCATATCCTGCCTTCACAGACATTCATTCCATCACTACACTGATGAAAACAAAAGAAGTGTTTGTCAATCAGAGATCTTAAGTCTTATTTTGTACCGTGTTTGTCCTCAAATGAATGCCCCCAACCCCCCCCTACACACACAACTGGGAGTCAAAGGTAATAGGTCCCCATGACCCAAACAATATGAATCAAACATGACCTGAAACATGACCCCCCAGAAAGAGGCAGAGTACCACCTGCTTTGGAGTGGGGCTTCAGTGGGTCATCATGTGACAAAGAGCCCACTCACATGGCACGTATCCAGGGGCACAGAAGGCAGCACCCAGTATGCCACAGTCAGAGGAGGCACCTCTGTCTGTGAGCAGAACTGCAGCCCAGAACCAGCACTCACACGGAGTTCTAGGGGCAGGGGCAGAGGCAGGGGCAGGGGCAGGGGCAGATGTTTAGGCAGCATACTGCCATAGTCTATCACGAGTCTGTTTGTCCTGGAGCTGTGTTCACCCCCATATTGTGCTTATTATACAGAACTACAGGTTACAGCTTCCTAGCAAAATTTCCCAATAGGTCAGCTGAATTAAAATTTTTGTCTGAACAGCTACAGTCAAATTTTCCTCTCACTAAAAACACACAGCATAGAGCATTATTCTCACATCTTTCTTAGTCTTAAAAAATATAAATATAGGGGCCATCTGTACAGGATGTGTGGGTATATACACCTCTAATATGCATCTGAGATGTGTAGAGCGTGTTTATGAATTTGAACTTGGAGGAAACCTGGGGGGCACTCTTGAGTAAGGTGATGAGCCCACAGACAGCTGCCCCAGTTCCCATAGGCTGAGAGTAGTGGAGCCCAGGTCCTCCTGACCTGGCACAAGGCATGGGGAGGGTGCTGGACCAGCTTAGTGTTTCCTTTCCACTGGTTGCTGGAGGCAAAGCTCACTCCCGGCAGAGACGATGGGCAGGCTGCTCTCAATATGGTAGTTGATGAGGTGACTGATGCTGTCAAAGACCCTGTCCTTCGTCCGGATCTGTGAGGATGAAATAAGGCAAGGTTGAGCAGATGTCATATGAAGAAAAGAAAGAACACATTGTGGCAGAGCTCTCTGAACCATCTGACTCTGCCCAGGGAAGGCAAGAGAGAAAGAAGCAGGTTTCCTGAACCCAAGGGCTGGCCATGCTTCAGAGATGGTTTCTGTACAGACCCTGGTCACCGACAGCAGCTGATCACTGATAACAACCAGTCACTGACAGCAGCTGATCACTGATAACAGCTGGTCACGACAGCAGCTAGTCAGTTTAGTGTGTCTCACCCATCTGTTTCTCTCAGGCAATCTTTGAATATTTCAATCCTCTGCCCTGTGGACACTGCCCACCTCATCCCTTCTCTCCTTCACTTCACTGGGACAACAGAAGTCCCAACTAATGAAGACAAGAAAATACAGTAAAATACAGTCTAGGAAGGAAAGCAAAGCCACCTTTGTTTACAGACTCCTGCATGACTGTGATATGTAGACACCAACAATGGAAACTATTCTTGATCTAATACACAATTCAAGTAAATAGATGGCTCGGTGGGTAAAGGCAACCTGAGTTCAAACCCTAGAACCCGTGTGAAAGCGGAAAAAGAGAATTAACTCCACAGAGCTGTCCTCAGGCTTCCATATGTACACCGTAGTATGCATTCCCTTTTACACATATGCATACAACACACACACCTCGCACCTAATAGCAATAAGTACATAAAAAAGTTTTAAGTCAATCACTTTCTTATATACTGGTAATAACTACATAAAATTCAAAATTTAAAACAAAATATCAATTATATTAACATAAAAAGTTGAATACTTTTGTATTCAATGAAATATTTAGGTATAAATTTAGTAAAGTATGTATAATTTATATCAAAGAAAGCTACAAAAGCCTAATTAAAAAAAGAAAAATAAACAAAGAATTCAATGAAAAGAGAAGATAGTCCATGTTCATGGATAGTCAAACTATAGGTCACAATCTCAGTCATTTCCAACCAGGTCTCTAGATTCTGTACAATTTCATTCTAAGTCTTTGCAAACTAAGTTGTTGATATCGATATTTTTTTCTAAAGTTTATGTGGAGAAGAGAAAGATGCAGGGTAGTCAGCAAAATACTGAAAGAAAAGAACAGGGTTGGTCCCATGGTCTAACTGTTGGCATTCTGGACTCTGAAAGAAAAAAACAAATATGGAAAACTGTCATTGCTTCAGGACTCACTATAAGGTTGCAGTAATCAAGACAATGGGATATTAGTGGAGGGACAGACAAGTACCTTCATGGAACAGAATAGGGAGTTACAATGGACCCACCAGATCATGACAACTAAATATTAATGACAGGTAAAGTCATGCATTGAAGAAAATGGTATTTCTTTCTAACAGATTGGGACAGCCATGTGAGAAAAAAATAAAGATCTTATATCCATTTAAACGTTAATTCAAATGTATTTTTAAAAAACGTGAAATTCTTAGAAGACGATACAGGAAAAAAATGTAGACAGCTGCAGTGTTAGATAAAAGAAAGTAACGGTAAGTTCCCAAAGGAAGCCAACAGGTGATGACCCTTCAGAAGGGGTTACTAGGAGAATGGCTCGAGGCCAGGGCAGTTATGAAGAAACCTTAGAGAGGCAAAGCATTAGGAGAAAGAAGATACTCTACTACCTTCAATTCTGTATGACAAAAGGAGTTTCTGATTCACAGGCCTTCCCTTCCAAAGGAGTGGGAGGAAAACTCAGTGTGACCAAGTCAATGTGTAGATAAGTAGATAGATAGATAGATAGATGATATATAAATAGGTAGATAGTAGATAGAGAAAAAGATAATAGACAGATAGATGATGTATAAATAGGTAGATAGTAGATACAGAAAAAGATGATAGATAGATAGATAGATAGATAGATAGATAGATATGGAAAATACAGTGGCCTCTTGGAGTCTAAAGAAAATTGGTTCCAAGATCCACTACTGTGGTAGTGTGAATGTAATTGGCCCCCACAGACTGATAGGCAGTAGCACTATTAGGAGGGATGGCCTTGTTGGAGTAGGTGTGGCATTGCTGGAGGAAGTGTATCTCAGTTTACTTCCTGCTGGCTGTGGATCAGGATATAGAAAATTCAATTCCTTTTCCAGCACCATGTCTGCACGCATGATCCTGTGTTTCCCACCATGATGATAATGGACTAAACCTCTGAACTGTAAGCCAGCTCCAATTAAATGTTTTCCTTTATAAGATGCTGTGGTTATGATTCTCTACACAGCAATAGAAACTCTAAGAAAACTACAGATATCAAAATCCAGGGAAGGTCAAGTCCTTTATATATAAAATGGTTTACCATTTGCACAGTATACACACATTCCACCATAGATTCAAAGCTATCCCCAGATCGCTTGTTGGGTCAGGGACCAGAGGCTGCCCCGCCCCCATAATTCTCTCTCTGGGACAGAAAGTGATAAAAACTGTGACCTTGCAACTCTCACAGGAATTCGTTTCTCTCCCTTCCACTTGCAACAGTGAGCAAGTCCAGTTCCCAATCTCTGGACCATGGATGACCTTGAATCATAGTTTCATTTTTATTTAGTGATTCCTTGCCTTCTCATGCCTGGCATGCAGACTAGGCCAGACTAGGTCATGATATAGATCTTACTTCTGTACCCCACACTGAGACCCCCATTGTTCTTGGGAATTAAGGGTCCTCCCTTCAGGAATCCTTCATGCTCTGTGTGGTAACTTGTCTTTTGATGCAGCTCCCTTAGGGGTTTTGGAGACTCTCTCTATCTTCAGGACCTCATCCCTCTGCATCTGGACCGATGGTCTCTCTCCTAACAAATGGGAATCCTACCTCAGCTTCTCTTTTCTATGAAACCTGCTCTTCTCCTTGACATTTATAACACCATGGGCACTGTTGCTCTCCTGCTATCTGGGGATAATGGCAAGAAGATTGTATGTACAGACAGTTTTCTCTGAAATCACAGCTAGCCATAGAAGATCCTGTCATAGGCAGTCCCACATTGAAATGGTGTCTCAGGGGTTCTGTGACTGGAGACAATACCAATCTCTCATCCCAAGAAGATAACTGTCTTCATTCTCCACTCCCCATAAAACCCTACTGCAGGCCTTACCCCATCTGTGGGAGCCCTGTGTCTGTGAGTCCTCTGGGCTTAGGGTACAATCCTTACCCTACCTATAGGAGCCCAGAAGACCTTAGAAAGCATCCTGTCTCTGTGAGACCTCTGGGATTGGAGTGCCATCCGACCAGTGGCAGAAGAAACCACAGAGAAACTTTCTGTCTTCTGTGAACAGTGGGGAAGCCAAGACCACTGCCCACAGTGTCTCCCAAGCTGTTCCCCACCACACCCTCCGTCATCAAAGATAGTATCAGATCCACACACAAGGAAGCCCACAGGGAACACAACTGTACCTCTACCTTTGTGAAATTCCACAAGCTCAGAGTCCAACTGGAGAAGAGGAAGTGGCCTCTCCCTGTAGTCAGGCTCTCCCAGAGAAGAGTTAAGGCAGGATGCCAGTCTGTCTAAAAAACCCTCCCAAGTGCCAGGCGGTGGTGGCGCACGCCTTTAATCCCAGCACTCGGGAGGCAGAGGCAGGCGGATCTCTGTGAGTTCGAGGCCGGGCTGGACCAACAGCCTCCAAAACAATACAGAGAAACCCTGTCAAAAAAAAAAAAAAAAAAACCCCTCCCAAGTGAGGCACCTCCAGAATCCATAAGGTAGAACCTGTGCCTTTATCGCCCCCTTGTGGCCATAAGTACACAATGTTAGGGAACTTGAAATTTTCTAGGGGGAAGGTTCCTTCAACATGGTGTGGTGCCTGGAAAGACTTTGTTCCTGGACAGCTATGTCACTCAGAACTCTCCATGAATGCCACAATGTGCAGCCCAGGATGAAGCAGAGACAGGAATGCCCATAGCATGCCAGGGGCTCCATGGTTTTCCCAAAGAAAGATGGCTAAATGATCCTTCCTACCCAGGACCTTCATTTGACAGGGAAATCACACTAGTCCAGGGCCAGAGGTGACTTACACAATCACGGTGGGTGACACCTTCCTTTCTGCATTTCTCTATGGTGATATAAGCATAGTTCCAGTGAGAGCCATCACCCAGAAAACTGAGCTAAAGTCTTAGGCCATTGATGGGAGATGTCATTCTGTAAATCTGTCTCTTATTGGTTGATAAATAAAGCCCTGTTGACCAATAGGGAAGCAAGATAGGTGGGACTAGGAGTCAAGGAAGATTCTGGGAAAGAGAGGTAGAGTTAGACACGATGTAACCACCAGAGGAATAAGAGGTCCAGAACCTTTCTCCGGTAAGAGAAATACTTAGATTAACAATTATGGGTTAATACTTAAGTCAGAGCTAGCCAGTAAGAAACAAGCAAATGGCCAACAGCTTCAAAATTAATACAGTGCCCTGTGTGTTATCTGGGGACTGTAACAGTGGCAGGACCTAGGCGGCTGGCAAGGAAGACTACACTCCACAGGCCATTGTGTCACACAGAGGGACCAGTCCTTGCCACCCACAGCAAGGATGACATGCAGTCTAGCCGGAACTGGGCCTCCAAAGGAGTACCCAGGCAGGAACTTGCCTAATGGTGACCAGGCACCTGACAGTGCGGTGGAGGCCAGAAGCTGGGAAGAAAATGCCCAACACTGTGTTTGCCTGGGATACATGGTAGGGGCACGGGGTTCCAGGCAACCATGGCCTTCTTACAGCTTTCCTTGTGGCTTGCTGGCATGTCCCAGTGATAGATGGCTGAGTGCAGAGGCCATTCCTGCCTGGGCCTCACAGCAGCAGATGTTCGCGACTTTCCCAGTATGGTGGGAATTGTTGTCAAGGGAGCAAACTCAACCCAGAGCCTCAGAACCTTCTCTGGTCTGCATGGAGACCTCTACTGACCTTCAGTCCATTCCTTCTAGATCTAGCAACCCTTTCATTGCTAGTAACAGGGGAAATGACAGTTGGGCAGTAGACATAGAACACATAGCTC